AATATAATTATGCATATAATATATAAAAATCAACTAAACTAATTATATCTAATATTATATTTTAATGACTAAATTAGACGAGTGTTAAAAAATATATCAAATCAAAAAATATACTAATTATTTTTATTGATTATATCTTGAGTTTCATATAAGCCAACATAATTATTGGATGAAATATTGGTCCCAAAAATTTGTCTTAAAATTTTATGTCAAATTTTATTACTCAAAATAAACTACTACCTTTGGCCCATTTTACTTATCACACTTTTATTTTGTATGATTATTAAACAAATTACAAAGATCTATAAAATACACTTATTATTAGTTAAAATTTTATATTTACCCTTATTAATAAGAGTACTTGGGAAGTTTAAATGTGTTTTTTAAGAATAAAGTAATTATTAATAGTGACAAAATTGAAAAAGAAGATTTTTTTTGTTTTTAAGAAAACTTTAATACTATGCTAAAAATTATAATTGACAAATAAATTAAACTATTCTTTTATATAAAAAAAAATACAAGGAGAATGGACCCAAAGCAGAGTATAACATGAGCTTGCTGTTGAGAGAGATGAATTAAATATGACTTAGCGCATTTAATCATTTAATAAGACAAATTAATTGTTTTGCATTTATTTGACTAATTTTAAGAATATCACTCAAAAAAGTAATTTTAAAAATAAGAAATATTATAATAATTGAACTCTCTATCAATGGTAGTTGTATAGCCTTTTACTCAGGAGGAACGCTAGCTGCACTCGCCTTTCTCCAGCACTCTCCAACACTCTCTCATGTAAAATGTCCACGTAACAAACATTGGCTCGCCAATTCAAAGTTTCCAACTAGAAAAGTTCACGTGGCTATTTTAGATGAAGGAGTGTTGGAGAGTGCTGGAGAAAGGCGACTGCAGCTAGCATTCCTCTTTACTCAGACGTGAGACCTAGCAAGTTAAAATTCAATCACTCTATTTTTTAGTGAGCAGTGCTAGGGGCACTCGCCTCTTGCACTCTCCGGCCAACACTTCCCCTTTCATTGGGCCACGTAAGCTTATTTTAAGCTTTGAAGTACAACCTCTTCCTACCAAAATAACGTGGCCCAATAAAGGTGAAGGTGTCGGCCAGAGAGTGTAGGAGGCGAGTGCCCCTTGCAGGCCTCTTTTTTTAGTTATTCTTCGACTCAGAGAAATAATGAAAATGGCTTGGAAAATTGAAAAAATTAAACAATTTAATGACATACCTGTTCATTGAAAAGTGGCATGTGCCTGCAGCTTTTGTTGAGACTACTCAGTTTTGGTAGACGTTGCAATCTCAAGGACCG